CACTATTTAAAGTGAGTCACTTTAAATGATCATGCTTTCTCTGAAATAAAATACCCCTATTCTTTTATTGTCTATGCTAGCACTACTTAGATTAGAGAAGGAAAATAAAGTCATGGAGAAACAAACTGGAGGCTTCCAATGGGGATACTGCATGGAGAACTTTCTAGGCCCAGTAAATAAATACATCAGCAACATCTGGCGTTGTTACCTCTGGGCTCTCCAGCACATCTTGTATCTTACTTTTCTTCAGAGACACCTCTGTATACTGGAGCTTATTAAATATGGATTCGTCCGTGTGCGTGAGAAGCGGTCTTTGCCTGAGCGATACCAGGAGCGCTGGCTGTTTACAGCGCTATAAACAAGGAGGCCTGGGGAAGTCCCAGGCGGGGTACGGCTCTGTCACCGCCCCGCTCCCGGAGCCCCCGGTGGGCCGGGGCCCAGCGCTACTCACGGAAGGCGGCCAAGCCCAGCATGGGGACCAGCAGGGCGTAATTCCAGCGGCTGCCGTCATCGCCGGGATCGCGCCGATTGGGCAGGATGTTCCAGTTGGGAGGGTCATTTAAGTTATTCATGAAGGCACCTGCGATGCACAGAGGGAAGACGCGGCCTCAGCAGCGCGCAGAGGGGCCGGGGCCGCTCCCGCCGCCCCCGTCTCCTCCCGCTGGGCGACTGGGAATTCCGCCCGAGCCCCTCGAACGGCGGCCCCGACACTGGGGAGCTTGGCCGCGACCTGAGTGACAGCCCCGGCCGCGACACGGCCTGCCAGACCCAGACCCAGACCCAGACCCAGACCCAGACCCAGACCTAGACCTAGACCTAGACCCAGACCCAGACCCAGACCCAGACCTACACCTGTTCCCGTTCCCGGTCCCGGTCCCGGGACCCCCACGCACGAGCCCGGGAGCGCGCGAGCCCCTGGCGCTGCCACTCACCTGCCGGCCCCGCCCCCTCCCGGCCCGGCCCATCAGCCGTGAGGAAAAGGGGGTGGACAACAAAAGGGCTCTCCCGCGCCCGGAGCGCTGCCGGACGTCCGTCGCCGCCCCTGAGGGGCCCTTTTTATTCCATTAACGCCGGCGGCCGAAGGCAGCCGTGAGCCGCATGTGAATTCCACCGCCTGGAGCTGCCGAGCCTACTTCCTGCCCTAGAGAGACAGTACGGTCTTTCTGTCCGAATCTCATGTCTACGAAATGGTCTTTCCCACAACTTCAAAACACGATTCTGGCCTTTTTGTGACGCAAACTTTCAGGCGCTGTCAGAGAGACAAAGAGGCTGAATCTTACAGTATTGGAGATCCCCCGGGAAAAGCAACAGCAGAAACACAATTCTAGTTTTTGATTTTTTTTTTTTTTTAATGTTCTTTACCCTCGAAACAGAAGTTGTTTAGAATCTTCCATCACGCAGCTCGGGGGTGGGATCGCTCTGGGGCTCCCCCTCTCGGCACTGTTGGTCTGTCCCGCCGAGCCCCCCATTATGGGGAAAAAGCCTCATCAGTGTCACTAGGATTAAAATGGAGTTTGAAGGGCAAGAAGCCCAGTCTTACCTGTGCTCTTAGGGCAGAAAAAAGGAGCATGCAGGGAGGAGGAGGAGGTGGAAGGTTCCAGGTGGTATCATTGCTATGGGCTGATCCCATGGCTGCTGAATGAAGTCCCACCCTGGAATGTTGCCTTTGAGATAACAGCTCAACAAAAAAAGAGAATGCTGCCTCTTCTCTTTCATCCTAATCAAAGCAGCAGAGCACTCCTCAGCATTGCTTTAATCTTTGTTTTCAGCAGTAATTTCTGTTTTTCTCCATGGTTCTATTACCACACTCCAAAAACACTGGGACAACTCTTTTGGAGCAGCCAAAACAAAGGAAGGAGCTGCTGCTCTGGGCCCCACCTCGGGTCCTTTCTGCTTCTGGGCTGAGCTGAGGGCTCCCATCACACAGGTGAACCCCCAGGGATGTCCCAGCACTGACCCAAGTCCACATGAAAGCTGGAAAAAGGAAAAGCACAGCAGGACAAGCCCTCCTGGGCCTGCCAGGGGCTGATTCCACCTTTTTCAGCAGGGAGGAGGAGGAAGGAAGGAATGCTGCAGCTCTGGGAGCAATCCCACTCTGGATGCTGCCTCCTCTTGTGCATGGATGAGCTGCAGGGCTGCCTCTGGGGTTTGAACACCCGGGAGTGTGAGGGATGGGATTCAGCAGCTCTGGCAGACACCAGAGATGATCAGTCCGTGGAGAGATGATCCCTGTTATCTGCTGGCCAAGGGAGACACCGAGGTGAAGTTTAAAGGAACAAAATTTATGGAGAGCAAAGAAATAGTTGGTAGTGTCTGTACATACAGATATTTAAGCTGTAATTAATTAATGACTGCAGCTTCAAACTGGATTACAAACAGATATCTGGTTTCATCTTTTATTAGGCAGTATTTTCTTTTTGATTACATTAATCTTGATTAATATAAGTATATTTGAATTCTTCACAATTGTGTGACATTTCCAGCAGAATTCCTTGAGGATATGTCCTACAGCACATTGTACAAGCAGCAATAAAGTTCCTTTTCTAAGTATTCAGCCTTGGGCTGCTTGCACAGGGTGAGGGACGGGTTTCAAAGCAGTGTGAAAGAGCTCCTCAATCCCCAGGAATTGCAGCTTAACATTAAAAAAAAAGGTACAGAAATTATCATTGTAGGCTTTTCTGCTAGATTCTTCAATCTGGAAGAAGTAGAACCAGTTTTTGTTGTTGTGGTGTTTTGTTTTGGTTTTGTGGGTTTTTTTTTTTGTGGTTTTGTTTGTTTGTGGTTTTTTTTTTGTTTAGAAAATGGCTTTTTCCTCCCACTGTCCCAGGTTACTCCAAGCCCTCTCCTAGAAATGGGCTGGAAGAGTAAGAACACAGCAGAGAATTAAAGAATAAATCAGCAGCTTGGGTACAGGCAAAGGACTTTAGTGGGCACAGACAGAGGACTAGGAAAATAAAAGAAACCAATGAAAATGCTGATGAGAAGAGTCAGAAGGTGCTGGGAGAAGCAGCCATTCCTCAAGGCCATGAGGAAAAGGCAGTCACCCGAAAAGGAATTTTTCCTCAGGACAACTCTCTAGCAGTCTTGCAGGGATGCCTGTGGTCCTTATTTTTAAAGAAAAAAAAAATTCTTTTGGGGCAGAAATGCATTCTGACCAGGAGAATACATTGCTTAACAAAAAAACCAAGGCCAAAATGTCCCAATCTTACAGACTACAGGAGGGAATATTACTCTGGGGGACAGAACAAATGGATTGTCTTCCCAGTGCTTTCCATGGTGTGAAAAAAGTGGGATATCTTGTTTTTACATAATGGAAAGACTTCCAGAAAAAATTACAAAGCCTTAAACAACCACTTCTCAAAAATTTTCTTGAGACAGAATTTCCTGCCTGTTGGTTACTACTGGAAGGAAAACACGATCAATTTTTTTTTTTTTTTTTTCCAGCTTGCAAATGGAGCCAACAGTTGTTTAAGGATATAATTTCATGCTTGGAAAGAAGCTCTCCCACAGCATCTTGATGCCCATTATGGGGAAAAAGCCTCATCAGTGTCACTAGGATTAAAATGGAGTTTGAAGGGCAAGAAGCCCAGTCTTACCTGTGCTCTTAGGGCAGAAAAAAGGAGCATGCAGGGAGGAGGAGGAGGTGGAAGGTTCCAGGTGGTATCATTGCTATGGGCTGATCCCATGGCTGCTGAATGAAGTCCCACCCTGGAATGTTGCCTTTGAGATAACAGCTCAACAAAAAAAGAGAATGCTGCCTCTTCTCTTTCATCCTAATCAAAGCAGCAGAGCACTCCTCAGCATTGCTTTAATCTTTGTTTTCAGCAGTAATTTCTGTTTTTCTCCATGGTTCTATTACCACACTCCAAAAACACTGGGACAACTCTTTTGGAGCAGCCAAAACAAAGGAAGGAGCTGCTGCTCTGGGCCCCACCTCGGGTCCTTTCTGCTTCTGGGCTGAGCTGAGGGCTCCCATCACACAGGTGAACCCCCAGGGATGTCCCAGCACTGACCCAAGTCCACCTGAAAGCTGGAAAAAGGAAAAGCACAGCAGGACAAGCCCTCCTGGGCCTGCCAGGGGCTGATTCCACCTTTTTCAGCAGGGAGGAGGAGGAAGGAAGGAATGCTGCAGCTCTGGGAGCAATCCCACTGGATGCTGCCTCCAGCATGGATGAGCTGCAGGGCTGCCTCTGGGGTTTGAACACCCAGGAGTGTGAGGGATGGGATTCAGCAGCTCTGGCAGACACCAGAGATGATCAGTCCGTGGAGAGATGACCCCTGTTATCTGCTGGCCAAGGGAGACACCGAGGTGAAGCCTGGAGTGGATATCAGGGCAGGAGTTCCTGAGTGGATGTTTGATCTCTGTTGAGTCTCACCTTTCTCCTTATCTGTTATTTCACTGTCCCCTGGGGCAGTAGAACAGTTTTATCTGTTATTTCACTATTCCTTGGGGCAGTAGAACAGTTTGTCTGTTATTTCACTGCCCCTTGGGGCAGTAGAACAGTTTATCTGTTATTTCACTGTCCCCTGGGGCAGTAGAACAGTTTATCTGTTATTTCACTATTCCTTGGGGCAGTAGAACAGTTTATCTGTTATTTCACTGCCCCTTGGGGCAGTAGAACAGTTTATCTGTTATTTCACTGCCCCTTGGGGCAGTAGAACAGTTTATCTGTTATTTCACTGCCCCCCGGGGCAGGAGAACAGTTTATCTGTTATTTCACTGCCCCCTGGGGCAGTAGAGCAGTTTATCTGGGGCTTGTGCTGCCCCATCCCTGATATTGGTGCTGATCCTGGCAAATCCACTGCATTCCCAGCAGGGCAGATCCTTCATCCAGGAGTGGGGCAGGAGAGGGGTGTAACACACCCCTTCAAATTAAATTTTAATCCTAGTGACACTGATGAGGCTTTTCCCCATAATGGGCATCAAGATGCTGGGGGAGAGCTTCTTTCCAATCATGAAATTATATCCTTAAACAACTGTTGACTCCATTTGCAAGCTGTAAAAAAAAATTTGGATCATGTTTTCCTTCCAGTAGTAACCAACAGACAGAGCCTTCACAAACACCTTACAGGAGTTACTTTTGACTGATCCTTTTAACTGGCCCTTAAAAATAAGGTGAATTGCTTGAACAGTATGTGTTAAAGCTCATCAAATGCCAGCTAGGAAATACATTATTATTATTCATGAGCTGCAAGTGTTTTGAATGTTTTCCTTCAGTAGGACTGGAACCCCTGTGTTAGAATTTGTTGTTTAGCCAGAAAAAAGGGCTTTTTTCACAACGGGGAGTTTACATAATCCACAATGATTTTAAGGAATCCTGAATGCTGCAATTTGCTTTTTTTCTTCATTGCTCTCTTGGTCAGTTTTATTTTGCTGCCTTAAACTTTCTACTCCTTGTTCAGTGTCACGTCTGCTGCATATTTATCATCAGCCTCTCATCTTTCTTATCTTTTTCATCTTTCCTTCATTCTTGCAGCCTCCCAGAAAGCAATCAGACTGGAAAATCCCCAAACAGAGAAATCAATGTATGCTACAGCTCGATGCCTCTCTTTTGAGTCTTGCTTTCAGCTTCTGGAGCTCAGAACTTTTATCAATTTTAAGCCCATAGTCTGTGATTTTCCAGGCCTCTTCATAACGCTGCTTTTCAAAGTTATATTGTGCAATTTTATGAAATATTTTGGTTAAACATTCCCTGCCAGGGCACTCAGTGATGGTGCCCAGGGCCAGGGGCTCATCCAGCTGCAGGGCTTGCATGTAGTGCTGCACTGCTGCCTCCTCCCGAGCCAGGGCCAGCAGCAGGAAGCCCTGGCAGCAGTGGTCCCCAGCCTGTGTTTTTGGGCTGTTACACCCATGCCCCTGGATCACTTTTTCCATGTCTTTCAGAGCTTTTTCGTATTTTTTCAGGTGCATCAGGCAGGCAGCTCTGCGCCTCAGGTACCTGGGGCTGGCCCTGCTGGCCAGCACAGCCAGGCTGTGGTAGCCCAGAGCCTGCTGGTGGTCATGGCTTTTCATCAGCACCTTCCCTTCCTGGGCTGCTGCCTGTGGGGACAGAGTAATCCAAGTTATAAAGGGAAAAATCCATGTAATGAAGAGGAAAAAATAGGGGAATATCTAGTTTGGATTGGTCATACACACAGACACTAAGAAATGTTAGTTGTTTTATCAAATGTTGGAATTGCATCTAGCTGGAGAAACAATAATTGGTGTGTTTTTGCATACAGGTAAGATAACATATATAAATAATTATATATATATATATAAAAGAAAATATATGTCTATTCCTATTTTTCTTGACATATTTGTTAAGGAGTCTCTCAGCTTCCACACAGAGCAATAGCAATAGGACTTCTCCCCCAGTAGTGTCAACCCCTGGCTTTAACAATTCTGGCCATAAATTTTCAGGCAGCCTGTCCAAACCCATCTCAGATGTCCTGTGTACATTTAAAGAGCAGCACATTTGCTTTGTCCTTTGAAATGTTTTTAAGAGAACTCCTCAGTGTCCCCTCAGTGGCAGGAATTTGACAAGGGATCAAGGTGGAATTGCAGCTGCCTGAAGAGCATCTTGGCAGGAGAAGGTGTTTTTTTTTCCCCCCTAGAAATTCCAGAGTTCTGGATCACATTGTTCCAAGGAACGCAGTGCAGTTCCTCAAGACAGCTTGTGTTTGTGTGGTTAAATTGTCATTTTCAGCCTCTAAGGTGCATTTGTTGTCTCAGAGGCAGAAGAAAACACAATGGTTGTTGTTGTGCTGAATGTTGAATCTGGTGCTGGAGGTTTCAGTGCTCTAACCTGGGGCATTTGGGGTTATTGCACCACAATATTGTATTTATTCACTGAGCAATATTGCAATATTGCATTTCTTCACTGAGCCACTGCTTTGATTCCTTCACATTTCCCTGAGAGTCCCCAAAACAAGCCACGAGACTCTGCCTTTCCTGCCACACTTGGAGGAAAAATCCCATCTGAAAAGAAAGGATTCCCTTTCACCCTTGCAGATGGAGCAAGGTTGGGCAGCTGGATTCTGGATTCTCTTTTGTCTCTGCCTGACTTAAGAGACCTGAGCTGGGACATTTTTGGTGTGTAACAGGGAAAGATTAACCAGCAGCTTGCACGTTATCTCCTAACAGAGATAAAGATGAAAGCCAGGCTCAGGGAGGGAAGGCAAAGGAAGCCAGAAGGACATGGCACAGCTGGGTTCAGCTGCTCCCTGCACGTGGCCTTGGAGAAGCATTTTTGTCATCAGCCTCATTGCAGGTGACCTGGAAGGGCAGGAAAATCCTTGGAGTGCATTCCAGGGGAATTCGAGTCCAGCTTGTCACTAAAAGCTTGATTTTGACTTCCAGACTGAAATAATTCAGGTGTCATGTGGAAAGGGCAATGAGTGGATCCCTGGATTCCTGGATTAGGTCTCTGTGTCTCTTTCTTCCATCTGTTCACCTCACTGGGTGTAAAGGACTGAACATACACATATTTTTGTGACGTTTTTTGGATCCAGTCCCTAGGGACCAACCTTATGACAAGACCAAGGCTTAATTCCTTAGAAAGAAAAAAGAGTGAGGAGTTTACTGGGCATGGAATTATGGCCAGGGGTCAGTCCCTGAGCAGTAAATCCCAGCAGATGGAATGATAAACTCTGATCTTTGGGAGAGGGTTGGGTGTTTCCAGGAGAGTTTGGAGCAAGTCTTTCCTTCCCCACCTGCACATGCCATGAAGGCCATTTGGAATGGCAACTTCACCTAACTCTGGCACAGTCCATGTAGTTTTGGAGACCATTTTTTGTAGGAATCTGGATCTCCACAGCAGCTGCAGCCCCGAGGATCTGTGTGAGGGGTTGGGAATCAGTCGTGCGTTTACCCCTGACTTAGGAAAGCCAAGGGTTGAAGCTGCACGAGCAGCAAGCAAACTCCCTTCCTCTGACCTTTTGCAGCTTAATAAATCTTTCAGATTCCTATTCCCATGGGGCTCTCCCAGTTGTTTACAAATTTCTCAGCATGAGACCCTTTCACTATAAATAATGGGAGAATTTTGTGACTTTGTTTTCCATGAAAAAAAAAAGAGTACATCAAGGAGCTTTCTCCTTCCTCCACCCTTTCCTATTCAGCTTATGGAGAACTATTTTTAGCTCTTCAGACCTGGCTCCAGGAATGATGGCACGTTTTTAAAATAATGATGACACGTTTTTAAAATGCCTGTAATTCCAAATTCTCAAAAAAACAACGTGGCAGAAATGCTTTTGTGCTGGAGTGCTGAGCCTGGGTGTGAACTCTGAACTCTTCTTTTCCTACCTGGGAAATTCAGGAACAGAGCAAACTCCCTCTCCCAGGGTAGGAACCCTGGCAAAGTCAGGCCATCATTGGGAATTTTAGCATTAATTCTGTCTGTAAGCTTTTAAAACTTTGCTTTTACTGAGGTCTTCCTTTCATAAACCAGAATAACCTGACAGGCAAAAGGAAGTGCTGCTGGGAAATCCTTTCAGACACTGGGCAGGTGGATGAAACAATTCCTTCCACACCCCAGAGAGCACACACTCCTCCCCTGGTCACAAAATACATCCAAAAACCCCCAGGTGCTTGAGTTCAAACATTCACTGGTTGAACAAAAGCATGGGATGAAAGAGAGCAATGTTTTCTTTTTAAACTTCCAACTCTGGTATTGGGCTCCAGTTTTGAAATCAGCCTGGTCACACCCCTTGTCTCAATCTCTCATGATAAATAAGCTACAGTGAGGGGTTTTATTTCAGACACAACTGCCAAAAAGAGGCAGAAATAAGTTTCTCTCCCATTTTAAAGGCTTCACTCACCTGTGGCACCAGTGGGTTCTCTCTTGTCAGTGCAGTATAAGCGATACAAATGTTAGTTTGATTTTTTATTTTCATTTTTCTTTTCTTACTGACAGCAAAGAACATCCCTCCTGTGCTGCCTCAGAAGGGAAGCAGCATGGATGGACTGGGCTGTGAGACCCCCACAGAAGGAGTGATGTGGCAGCAGGGGAAATTCAGCTGTAAAATGTGTCTTCATTTACAGACACCTCCTTAGAGCCTCCCTACTCACAGTCTCAGTTGTTCCTTTATCAACTTTCTAAAGTGGAAGATTGCAAATTGCCTCTGAAATCTTCCAACTCTTCCCCCTAAGACTGAACTTTTTACATTATTTAGAAGAGAGGGGCTCTTTTCTCTGTAATGGGTCATGTCTGGGGACTGGTAAATTAATACTTGTTTACTTATATCCTCCTGCTGTTCTGTTCAAATACATTCCAAGGGCTCCTCTTGCTGCATTAAGGATATCAGCATGTTGTTTGTTTTATAACCTGGGAGAGAGCATAACAATATAGCTTCTCACCAGGGTGCACACCAGCAACAAATTGAATAAAAGGAAGCAAACTGATTCTCAGAACACAGAGCTTCTGGGTAATCAGAATTGCAGATGCTTGGCTGAGTGTTAAAGCTCTTTGCCATCAATCTGACCTTCTCTTGTCTTGTTATTGGAGATACTTTCTGGGTGTACTTTGGGGGAGAAACATGAAAAAATGCTTAGTAATAAATACTTTGGGGGGACCAGAGCTTTGTGGCATTGTTGTGTCAATTTTAGCTAAGAAAACCAGCCTCAAAACCTTACATTTTGTAAAAATGTGAACATACTAGAAATCCTAAATGTTGCACAAAAGAAGGATGGAAGCATTTAATGTCACTGAATTGAAATATTCAGCTTCTTTTCATCAAGAAAATTAACAAAACATGAATCCCCCTTCACCAGGAGCCATCCATGGGCCCCATGTATCCCCCAGAGTACAATTAGCAATGATCTGTTTAATCCCTACCTGCTGCCCTCACACCCCCTGAATTTCAGTGTGGGCATCACCAGCTCTTGTGCCAGGGAGACCAAAAAGGAATCCCAAATGCTCAGGTGTGGCAATGATGGATGATTAGAGACTGATCAAGGTCACTGCAGTGGAAGAAGTTTGGCTCCAGCTCCCTGACCTGGCTGGAGGAAAAGCCAATTTGTGCCCTGTCCATCTGCTAAAACTCTTCCCACACACTTCTCAAGGCAGGGAGAAATCCCTTCAATCCCAGTTTTGCTTCCCAATTCTTTGCCCACTGAATCCACAGATGTGGGTTCAAAAAAAAAAAAAAGAAAAAAAAAGGGCTGTACCTGAGCAAGATGCTGCTGTTTCTTGGTGTCTACAAAGTTCAGGAGAAAGGCCAAGTCCTTCTCATCTCTCCTGGCCAGGACGCTGAGCGGGGCAGCTGCCCCTGCCACGTTCCTGCTCTGCAGCTGCAGCACAGCCAAGCGAGCCCTGGCAAAGTCCTCAGCAGGACAGTGGCCAAAGGCTTCCTGCAGGTGCTTGAGGGCCTCCTGGTGCCTTCCTGTTGGGGAACACCAGCACAAACTCCACAACCCATCCTGTGGGGAGAAAGGTACCGAGAAACCACAGCGAGGTGGGTTCAGGCAGCCAGTCTGCATTTAAAGGTGTTAATTATGTCATACCTGTCCCAAAGTGTTTTCAAACTTCTCTTGAGAAGCACCATCCAGCACCATCCAGCATTGTCCAGCATTATCCACCACTATTCAGCACCATCCAGCATTACCCAGCACCATCCAGAACCATCCAGCACCATCCAGCAACACCCCTGACATTTCATATCCACTTCTATCCATTTTCTGCTCCTTCACCAGGCCTGACCAGCTGTGCTGAAGGACTGGAACTCACCATTTGCCATCAAAACATCAGTGTAGAAGATGTGATGTCGTGCAGCCCTGCAGATTTTGGTCAGTGCTTTTGCCATCGTGAGAAGGTCCCCAAGGGTTTCTTCTCCTGGGACATCTTTGGTGGCCACGAGCTCGCTGAGAGTGGCCCTGCCATGCTGGAGGAGCCACCCAGTGACCAACCTTTGGGCTTCAGGCTTCAAGGACAGGATTGCTGGGATCACTGCTCCTGCCTCCACCTTCAGTGCTGAGATCAGATCTTGCACTGCCTCCTGTGGAAAAACAACACCAAGGAAAGAAATGGAAGCAGTAATTAAGTATTGATCATTTGTTCTTTCAGCTGCTTTCTGTTCTCTGCTGAACCATGGAAAAACTTTGCTTTTCCTTGTTTTTGTGCTGCAACTTTTCCATTTGCAAAGCTGATAGGAGGTCATAAAGGCAGGTTTGGATGAGTGTTTGCAAAGTGCTTTAAACTCCTTGGGTTATCACAGAAAATCATGACCAAGGTTTAGCCCTCCTCTCCCTAGGCTTGGGGAAGAAAATCAGTAAAGCCAGATGGGCTGTTCATAAACCCAGCCAAACTCAGAGCCTTTCACTATCCAAATTCTGTGAGAAACCTCTGATTCCAGTGATTCCACGACAAATTCTGTGATGCTTTACACTCATATTGTTCAGTACCCTCAGAAAAACCGGCAAAGCCCCCCATGGACAGTACCTTCTGCTGCCTCAGAGCGAGGTGAACAAAGCCTCGGCCACTCAGAGCTTGCACATTCCTGGGATCCTCCTTCAGAACAGCATTAAAATCAAAAATTGCAGTTTTCATCTGCCCAAGGCGCCCATAGCATCGGGCCCTGGTGAGGAGGCAATCCTCAGCATAACCACCTGGAGGACAGGGATGTAGCCATGGTTACTGCAAGGATACCCACAGGAAGCTCCAAAAAAGCTCCACTTGGCCTGAGGATACCTCAGGATGAAAGTTTTCTTAAGTGGAAGTTTCCTTTATTTTTGTTGCAAGTGGAATTCCTGCCATGTGTTATCAGCCATGAGTTGAAAGGAAAGAAGAATCTGAGTCAGGTTGGAGTGGGAGCAGCAGGAATGAGAGGAGAAAGCTCTAAGAGGGAGATCTGTGGCTATGTGAGAGTGGAGGCACAAAGCCATTTGGCTGTTTTAATAAAGTGGGGTCAGAATCACAGAATAGTTTGGGTTGGAAGGGACCTTAAAGAGTCCCCAGCCCTCTCCCACGGGCAGGGAAGGTACACATTGTTTTGGATAAATGAGTTATCCAGATGGGACTAATTCCCTGCCAGAATTAATATGCACTGGGATTTGTGGTACTGAGGTGCTTTATTTTATTTTTTTGTTTTGTTTTGTTTTGTTTTTCCCTCTGCTTTCACACAAGTACTGCCCAAATAAACACATAGAGTTGTCAGAGAAAATCCTGGTCCCTCCATTCCCTGCCTGCAGAGCATTTCTCTGCCTGCCATCCACATATCCCTTCCTTCCAAGGCAATTTCGATAAGGATCTTAACATGCCCAGGGTTGCAATCAATAATTGTGGCATCCAGTATTGGATGATAAATCATCAGTGCCACTGGAAATATGTTTTCATAGGGAGGTCATCAAATGCAGCTGCCTGCAGGGATCAGCCAGCAGACAGGCTCCAAGCAATTCCTCTGCAGTAATGAGGCTTTTTCTCCCGCCTGATTTGCTCCAAAACTTCTGTACCAAAGGTTATTATCACTCTGGAGCTCTACCAGTTGGCTCCTCTAAAGACAATATCTATTCCTTAACAAGCATCTGTTCTAGCAGGTGGGGAGCTGATAAGCTGGAATGCACGGGCTGTGAAATGGAACCATCTCCAAGCAATTAACAGGGTTTTTATTCCATTTCCACGAGCCAGTCTCTCTTCTTCTCAGTGCTGCTGTCATAACATTTGCTCAGAGTGAAAGGCAGATTTCCATACAAACATGGTTGTACTTGGAACATGCCAGAAGAATTTCCATGTCAGCCTGGTCTCTCTCCTGAGGGAAAGCTGGGATAGTGAAATGTGTGAGGGGCTGCACTCACTTCTTTGCACTGGCTGAAGAAAAGGGGGTGATGTCCCTGTAGAACTGAGCTGAACCCATTTCAAGGAATTTAAAATTCCTTATTGTTGAACTCCACCACTTCACGGCCCAGGTGAACGTGCTGTGTCAGCCCTCACTGAGGAGGTGACAGAGGAGACCTGGACATCCTGCCCACCCACATCATTTCCCTTAGGAGCAAATCCCCACAGGCATCCTGGTGTCCTACCTGCAGCAAGGATGGCAAAGGACAGGTGGGCAATGGCCTCTTTGATGGCAGCAGCCTCCTGTTTGCCCTTGAGGATGGCCAGGGCTCGCCAGCGGCAGTGGCTCTGCAGCAGCTTTCGGTCCTCGTCCTGGAAAATGTCCAGCACTGGCAGGAGGCAGGAGGAGTCTCCAATTCTGATCAATCTCCTCAGCAGCTTTAGGATGGGAGAGGAAAAGGCAGCAGAGAAAGAGTTGGATGGGATGTGAGGTTGTGTGTGAGAGCTTTGTGTCCTTCTCCAGCATCCCCAACTCTCCCTGGGGGTTCAGCCAGGCCAGGAGCACAAATCTCCCTGATTTATCTCCTCAGCTGGCCCTGCTGTGAATGCAGGTTGGAGAAAACAGGGATTCTTATCTTTCCTCACCACCACTGCAGCTGTGGAAATAATTCTGGGCAAACACCTGGTGCTGCCTGCTTTGTTTTGGGTAGCATCCACATTGGCAGTGGAGTATTTTTATAAATGCAGGATGATTGCCCAAAAAAGAGAATGTTCCTGAGGAACACAAGGATTCCAGTGATCCTTTTGACTGCAAAATCAAAACCAGTGAATTAATGGAAAATTAGGGAACTGCTGTAAGTTATTTTTAGTATTGTTATTGGTAATCTGGGAAAAGCATGGATTCAAACCCACAAAGTACTGTCCTTCTGGAAAAGAATCCTGTCTGACTTTTGGTATCTTTGCCTCAACAAGCACTTTTTTTACTTTGTTTCCAATGAAAATGAATCAAAAGATTACAGTGCTCAGCAGGGACTGAATATTCAAATCTGAGCCAGAGAAATCTGGGCAAGAACAAAGTTATCCTATCTGATGTACCAGACACATCCCTTGAACTCATAAATGTCTTTATTTTATTGATAGATAAAAGTGATTGGCATCTGACAGGCAGGTGGGATAAAAATATTTTGGAGATAAATTTTCAGATGTTCCATGAAGAAATTTCAGCAGAGGCTGCAGATGGAAATCCAACCTCCAAGGAGAGCATTCTAATAAAGCCACACCCTTCATTAACAGCCTTCCCAAAGGCAGCAAATTACAGCAAACGTTTTCATAGGCAGTAGTGAAGTGCTGACAATAAAACCCTTCTCCTTATGGGTTAGCAGAATTTATATGGCGTTTTAAAAAGAATACAAGAGTTCCCTCTGATGGCAGAGCCTGGGAATTCAGCTTTGTAATCCTGGAGAACCAACTTGCTGGAATGGCTTTCAGGGTTTCCAGCACAATTTATCAGCATTGGAGAAAGAAAACTGAATATTGATATTGAAGTTTCTGCACTTGTGTTTTTCTTCTCCAATGCTTCATTAGGGTAATTGGGGAGGTGGCACTTGTGCCTTCTTTTCTTTAAGGGAGCATTCCAATCCCATAATGTTGTCCCCAGGGAGAGGATGCTCTGCCTGGTTAAAGTGCTGAGAAATGCCATTAAAAAGCATGTGAGGAATGAGCTGGATTTAACTGGGAGTCCTTGTGAGGCCTTTTTGACACAAATTCCTGTGATTCCATGATTTTATGGCAATATCAGCCCTGTATTTACACCTTTAAGTTCTGCTAGAGGTTCTGCATGTGGGCTCCAAGTTTCACTGTGTCACAGCTCTCCCTGCTGCTATTCAGGGAGCTCCTAACAGCAAAGTTTAGTTATAAAGGGGAAATGCACCAAAACCACTGAACACAGGGATTAATCTGTAATTTCACTGTGGTCTGGGAAAAAAACCTGGCAAAGCTGTTGAGGAGGGAATGACCCCGAGGATGAGGCTTTCCAGGTGCTCCTTACCTGGTTGCCATCATACAAAAAGCCTCTCTTGAGCTGCAGCAGGGCCAGCCTGGCCAGCACAGGAGCCCTCTGGGGGTTTCTGGAGAGGGCCAGTGACAGCATCTTGTGGGCTTCTTCCCCACGGCCCATCTGGTACAGCGCATCAGCACACAGGAGCTGGGATGCCTCATCAGAGCTGTCCAGCTCCACCAAGAGAGAAGCCAGCTGGAAAACCCCAGGGGCATCTCTGGAGAGGAAAAACAAAGGCCAATTTAAAAAAAAAAAAAAAAAAAAAAAAAACCACCTTCAAGGTTAGGAATGTGCACAGCCCTGTTTGCTTTTTCTGAAAGGAAACTGAGCTGCCTCCTGGGTACCTCTTTTTCTGGAGCATCATCTGTCCTTCCTCCTGGAGGACCTTCAGCAGCAATCCCCTCTGGTTCCATGGCACGTAGGACTTGATGGTGAAGATGGTTTCATCCAGCTTTAACTGGCAAGCTGTGATATAATCCAGGGCTGTCAAGTAATTGCTGCCACCAGAAATTCGGATCAGCCCACGCCCACACAGGGCTTTGATGCAGCTGTTGGGATGTGGGGACTCGTGCTCGATGACCCTCTGGAAATCCTGCAGGGCTCCCTGCTGGTCCTGGGCGTGGAGGGAGCAGAAGCCTCGCAGTGCCAGCAGGGTGTTGTGGTAAGTGCTCTGCTCTGCTGCCAGCAGCTGCTCACACATGTCCAGGGCGGCCCCGGAGTGTCCCTGCAGGAGGTGACAGTCTGCCAGCCTGACACTGAGCTCCCGGCTGGACCCTGGGCAGATGTGCAGGAGCAGCTGGATTGTCTGGATGACAGGAGGGAGCAGCTCAGTGCCACAGGTGCCCCTGAGCTCAGCCCGAGCACGCACAGCCTCCCTGTATGCTGCAAACCTCCCCTCCAGGGCAGCTCTGGCCTGCTCCTCGACCTTCTCAGCATCACAGGGTGAGAAAAGCTCTTCAAAGCGTTTCATTGCCCGGGCAGGGTCTGCTGCAAAGGCCGCTGCTAAATCCTGCATCATTTCCTGCGTGCATCCTCCCAGGAAGAAATACCCAGCAGCACGTTCCAGGAGCAGAGCCAGAATGTCCTCACCTCTGAGATTCTCAGCTGAGAATCTCTCAAGGGCCTTGCTGCAGACAGCCACACTCTCCTGAAACTCTCCTGTTTTTCGGAGGTGGGCTGCCCGTGCCCTGCACACCCAGGTGTGCCCCGGTGCCACCGCAGCCAGGAAGCTGTAGCAGTCACCCAGCCACTGCTCCGAGGACCTGCAGCTTGGGCTTCCCTCCTGGCACGTGGAGAGATGATCAGAGAAAGCCTGGACGACCTGGGGCAGGTGCTCCCTTTGCCTGCTGCACACGTAGGCCACTGCCTCAGTTTGGTGCAGCAAAAAGGCTTGGATGTAATCCACGATTCCCTTCCCAACCTGTGTCCCTGAGAGCACCCGTGCCAGCGCCCTCAGCAGCAGCAGCTCCATGGAACCCCTCGGGTTATCCTCCAGCAGGAGATTGCATTTGCTCACCACCTCCTCCGAGCACCCTCGCCGCAGCAGGGCCTCCAGCTCGTACACAGAGGCCACCACATTGTTGGGGATCAGGGTGGAGAGGAAAAGTGCTGCTATTCCCACGCTGAGGGACACCACGGCCAGGTTCCTGCTCTGGATTTTGGGGATCTGAGCCTTGCCTTGGCACCAGGCCTCCAAGGTGGCCACCACTCGCTCCCAGAGCCCGTGGGCCATGGAGTTCACTCTCTGCACTGCTGTGGGGGCACAGCAGCTGAAGGCGGCCAGGTAAAAAGCCGTGGCTGCTGGAAATTCCTGCTGGGAGAGGCGCTCGTCCCCTTCCCCACAGAGCAGGGCGGCGAGCTCCTCGGGGGACATTTCCTGTGCTTGGGCCTTCACCGAGCGGCATCACGGGGGGGACATGGCCGGGGCCTGTAAAACAGAAATGAGGGGCTGCGGAGCAGGGTTTGAGCAGAAAATAATCAGTGAGGGGCTGTGGAGCTAAGTTTTATTAGACAATTAGCAATGAGGGGCTGCGGAGCAGGGTTTGAGCAGAAAATAATCAGTGAGGCGCTGTGGAGCTGAATTTTATTAGAGAATTAGCAATGAGGGGCTGTGGAGCAGGGTTTGAGCAGAAAATCAGCAGAAAATCATCAGTGAGGGGCTGTGGAGCAGGGTTTGAGCTGAAAATCATCAGTGAGGGGCTGTGGAGAAGGGTTTGAGTAGAAAATAATAAATGAGGGGCTGTGGAGCAGAGTTTGAGCAGAAAATCAGCAAGGAGGGGCTGTGGAGGAGAATTTTAGCAGAAAATCAGCAGTGAGGTGCTGTGGAACAGAATTTTAGTGAAAAATCAGCCATGAGGTGCTGTGGAGCAGAATTTGAGCAGAAAGTCAGCCATAAGGGGCTGTGGAGCAGGGTTTTGACAGAAAATCAGCAGCGAAGGGCTGTGGAGCAGAATTTTATCATAAAATCAGCAATGAGGGGCTGTGGAGCAGGGTTTGAGCAGAAAAAATCAGCAATGAGGGACTGTGGAGCAGGGTTTGAGCTGAAAATCAGCAGTGAAGGGCTGTGGAGCAGGGTTTGAGCAGAAAATCAAAAATGAGGGGCTGTGGAGCACAGGTTTGAGAGAAAATCAGCCATAGGGGACCATGGAGCAGAATTTTAGCAGAAAATCAGCCACGAGGGGCTCGGAACATAAGTTTTTCTGGGAGGGAGCAGCTTTTCACATGCCAGACGCCAGCAAGCCCAGGTGCTGTGAAAAGCCAAAGTCTGGTCACTGCCAGGTTTCTGGGGGAGTAAAGCCACGAGGAGAAACATCACAGAAGTTGGGAAACACCCACCCCCCTTGGTCAGCGTTCCCTGCCCATGGAATGAGGCTGGGACAACCATTTTGATAAATCTTTAATCATAATTTCAATCTTTAATCATCAATGTCGCCGATGGCGGGGGACACGGAGGAAACAGGGCCACACCTTGATGCTTCCCCCACCCCTTACCTTTTCCATTGGCCTGGAGAAAGGAGGATAAAATCGGCTTTTTTCCACCCAGCGGAGGCTGCTGCTCCTCATCCCGCACACCTGAGCCCTGTCCTGCCGATACCTGAGAGGGGACGAGCCCGGGGCTGGGGCGGACGGGACGGGAGGGAAGGAGGAAAGGAAGGAGAAAAGGAGGGAGGGAGAACAGGGCAGGAGTGTTGCCTGGAGACCGCAAACACTGCCCGGGTGTGCTGCGGGGCGGGGACGGGCACGGGAACCGTGCCTGCCCTTCTCCCTCCTTATCCCGAGGGAGCGGGAGGGATGCTCAGGGCATGGCCAGGGCATGATCCCCCTCATCTGGCAGAAATGATGGTTCACCTCGGGGAAAGGATCCTACTCACCTCAGGGGAAGGATTCCACTCACTTTGGGGAAAGGATCCTCCATCATTTTGAGGAAAGGATCCTCATCATTTTGGGGAAAGAATCCTCCTCACCTCAGGGATAGGATCCTTCTCTCCTCAGGGAAAGAATCCCCATCACCTTGGGGAAAGGATCCCACTCGCCTTAGGGGAAGGATTCCATTCACTTTGGGGAAAGGATCCTCATCATTTTGGGGAAAGAATCCTCCTCACCTTCGGGATAGGATCCTCCTCACCTCAGGGATAGGATCCTCCTCACCTCAGGGGAAGGATTCCACTCTGGGAAAAGGATCCTCCTCACCTCAGGGGAAGGATTCCACTCACTTTGGGGAAAGGATCCTCATCATTTTGGGGAAAGAATCCTCCTCCCCTCAGGGATAGGATCCTCCTCACCTCAGGGATAGGATCCTCCTCCCCTCAGGGATAGGATCCTCCTCACCTCAGGGATAGGATCCTCCTCCCCTCAGGGATAGGATCCTCCTCACCTCAGGGATAGGATCCTCCTCCCCTCAGGGATAGGATCCTCCTCACCTCAGGGATAGGATCCTCCTCCCCTCAGGGATAGGATCCTCCTCACCTCAGGGATAGGATCCTCCTCCCCTCAGGGATAGGATCCTCCTCACCTCAGGGATAGGATCCTCCTCCCCTCAGGGATAGGATCCTCCTCACCTCAGGGATAGGATCCTCCTCCCCTCAGGGATAGGATCCTCCTCACCTCAGGGATAGGATCCTCCTCCCCTCAGGGATAGGATCCTCCTCACCTCAGGGATAGGATCCTCCTCCCCTCAGGGATAGGATCCTCCTCACCTCAGGGATAGGATCCTCCTCCCCTCAGGGATAGGATCCTCCTCACCTCAGGGATAGGATCCTCCTCCCCTCAGGGATAGGATCCTCCTCACCTCAGGGATAGGATCCTCCTCCCCTCAGGGATAGGATCCTCCTCACCTCAGGGATAGGATCCTCCTCCCCTCAGGGATAGGATCCTCCTCACCTCAGGGATAGGATCCTCCTCCCCTCAGGGATAGGATCCTCCTCACCTCAGGGATAGGATCCTCCTCCCCTCAGGGATAGGATCCTCCTCACCTCAGGGATAGGATCCTCCTCCCCTCAGGGATAGGATCCTCCTCACCTCAGGGATAGGATCCTCCTCCCCTCAGGGATAGGATCCTCCTCACCTCAGGGATAGGATCCTCCTCCCCTCAGGGATAGGATCCTCCTCACCTCAGGGATAGGATCCTCCTCCCCTCAGGGATAGGATCCTCCTCACCTCAGGGATAGGATCCTCCTCCCCTCAGGGATAGGATCCTCCTCACCTCAGGGATAGGATCCTCCTCCCCTCAGGGATAGGATCCTCCTCACCTCAGGGATAGGATCCTCCTCCCCTCAGGGATAGGATCCTCCTCACCTCAGGGATAGGATCCTCCTCCCCTCAGGGATAGGATCCTCCTCACCTCAGGGATAGGATCCTCCTCCCCTCAGGGATAGGATCCTCCTCACCTCAGGGATAGGATCCTCCTCCCCTCAGGGATAGGATCCTCCTCACCTCAGGGATAGGATCCTCCTCCCCTCAGGGATAGGATCCTCCTCACCTCAGGGATAGGATCCTCCTCCCCTCAGGGATAGGATCCTCCTCACCTCAGGGATAGGATCCTCCTCCCCTCAGGGATAGGATCCTCCTCACCTCAGGGATAGGATCCTCCTCCCCTCAGGGATAGGATCCTCCTCACCTCAGGGATAGGATCCTCCTCCCCTCAGGGATAGGATCCTCCTCACCTCAGGGATAGGATCCTCCTCCCCTCAGGGATAGGATCCTCCTCACCTCAGGGATAGGATCCTCCTCCCCTCAGGGATAGGATCCTCCTCACCTCAGGGATAGGATCCTCCTCCCCTCAGGGATAGGATCCTCCTCACCTCAGGGATAGGATCCTCCTCCCCTCAGGGATAGGATCCTCCTCACCTCAGGGATAGGATCCTCCTCCCCTCAGGGATAGGATCCTCCTCACCTCAGGGATAGGATCCTCCTCCCCTCAGGGATAGGATCCTCCTCACCTCAGGGATAGGATCCTCCTCCCCTCAGGGATAGGATCCTCCTCACCTCAGGGATAGGATCCTCCTCCCCTCAGGGATAGGATCCTCCTCACCTCAGGGATAGGATCCTCCTCCCCTCAGGGATAGGATCCTCCTCACCTCAGGGATAGGATCCTCCTCCCCTCAGGGATAGGATCCTCCTCACCTCAGGGATAGGATCCTCCTCCCCTCAGGGATAGGATCCTCCTCACCTCAGGGATAGGATCCTCCTCCCCTCAGGGATAGGATCCTCCTCACCTCAGGGATAGGATCCTCCTCCCCTCAGGGATAGGATCCTCCTCACCTCAGGGATAGGATCCTCCTCCCCTCAGGGATAGGATCCTCCTCACCTCAGGGATAGGATCCTCCTCCCCTCAGGGATAGGATCCTCCTCACCTCAGGGATAGGATCCTCCTCCCCTCAGGGATAGGATCCTCCTCACCTCAGGGATAGGATCCTCCTCCCCTCAGGGATAGGATCCTCCTCACCTCAGGGATAGGATCCTCCTCCCCTCAGGGATAGGATCCTCCTCACCTCAGGGATAGGATCCTCCTCCCCTCAGGGATAGGATCCTCCTCACCTCAGGGATAGGATCCTCCTCCCCTCAGGGATAGGATCCTCCTCACCTCAGGGATAGGATCCTCCTCCCCTCAGGGATAGGATCCTCCTCACCTCAGGGATAGGATCCTCCTCCCCTCAGGGATAGGATCCTCCTCACCTCAGGGATAGGATCCTCCTCCCCTCAGGGATAGGATCCTCCTCACCTCAGGGATAGGATCCTCCTCCCCTCAGGGATAGGATCCTTCTCGCCTCAGGGAAAGAATCCCCATCACCTTGGGGAAAGGATCCCACTCGCCTTAGGGGAAGGATTCCATTCACTTTGGGGAAAGGATCCTCATCATTTTGGGGAAAGAGGACAAGATACAGGGAATTACTTACACAAACCAGCAAACTCTGTGATGCAGCCTAAACTTTTAACCTTATTTTTAATTAATAAGCCTTGTATTTTAATTATAAACGTTATTTTTAATAGTAATCCCAATTTTAAATAACTACTCTTACTTTTTAAAAATAACCCTTATCTTTTAAATAATAACCCTCATTTTAAAATAATAGCCCTTATTTTTTAACAATTAGAGCGTTTTTAGTAATAGATCAAGTCTGTTTTTAGGAGTGTTTAGCCTGATGATGTCCCTTTAAGCCAGGGCCACTCTGAAGTCCAGCTCTTTCTTTCCCTCTCTCTCCACATTCTTTGACATTCAAAAGAGTAAAAAAATCTCTCTATGATGAATAGAGATTTTTTGACATTTTATTAAGAGTTTGCCCATTACGTTGATTTGATTACTTTCACTTTAATTACCCTAATTAGCCATCAAGATATAATTTAGCATTGCTGTCACATTGGGCCACAGGTGAT